GGAGTATCCACATCTCCAAAGTTTTCCAGGATTTGTAGCTAGTTAATTGTCAGTGGTATCCTTATAGAACAATATATATGTATTGTTGTATGATTGTCCATAAAATCTAATTATAAAGCATAGCTTTAATGTGTACTGTCTGGCTTATGGGAAAAGAATGAAAAGTATACATTAATGAATCATTTATTTATACATGTTAAAATTTGAAATGAAAGTAAATTACAAATCCACAATTTTTTTATGTAATCTCTAAGATTTTCGGCAATGTTTAGTTTTTTGTTTCTTGTGCTAACACTGTATGGTTTAGTTGGCCATTTCTGCCTCTCAGAAGAAGGTCTTCTAAATAATAAAATAAAACGTCAATAAACATATTTTTACCTTTAATTGCTTATTCCCAGTTAAATAGTAATTAAAATGTTTACAAGTCATAACTTTTTGTTATATATATTCTATAAGCACTTCTCACTTTAATAATTGATAGTCTTAAGAAAAGCAAAAGAACATTATTAGTGTAATTTTGAGTTTCAGAAAGTGTTATTAACATATTAACAAGATTATGTGAAAAACTAGTGTCAATTGATAAAATAAATGACAAGATTGTCTGTAAAATAAATGCATTTTTGTAAGTTGTTTCTTGGAGACTGGTTGTAATGCAGACAGTAGACTTATTGTACATCCTCCATTTATTCATGGATGCCCACTCAAAGATAATGGAATTCTGTACCAGATGGAACGGTTTAGTGGATGGGTAACATACATTTTTGGAGTCTCTTGGCAGTCTTCAAAAAGTGTTAGGCACCTGTGATCTAATACCTCGCAGTCATGCAAGATATAGTTGACTGTTGTGCAGAATTCTTGTTGTGTTCTGCTTTGTTGTGCATATACCTAGGTATATGCACAACATTATATTAGGTATCCTTTTCCTACATTGAATTTTGTAGTTACCTGTTCTTTTGGTAATCTAAGTGTAACATGAATTTTGTTTTTGCATTATCTATTAAGATTGTTATTCTACAGTTAACTCTTACTATTAAGTTTACTCCGCTACACATCAGAATATAATGTGCATCCCATCAGAACCAGAAGGTAGTATGTATCATTAAATAATACAAAATTTCCTTTTAAGTTCCTTGTATTCATATATGACATTTCTTTCTTCAAGTAGTTTCATGGTATCAACAAAGAATATAGACGCTTATTGATCAACCAAGCTATAGCAATAACCAATAAAACCATACAGGGTTAGCAAAAGAAACAAAAAACAATGTATACAAACATCCGAAACAATGTATAGCAAAGTGTTATGAATTATTAGAATAAAAAAAGGTTGTATTTTATTCCATTGGATCCAGTTAGAATTAGAAAATAAAATTAAGAATGTTCCAATAGACAATCAAAATTAACCAATAAATTATTACTGTACTAAATTACATTTGAGGGTTTAGCACAAAAAAAATTGTTTTGATATTACTTCAATAAGATTATCGCTTAAAAAAATTAACACAAAATATCTTTAAAAAAATGAAGAAAATGATATTCATAGTTACGCACCCTGACACTAGGTGATGCGCCAATAATCGTTTTACTTCTTACGGGACTGACACTGCTAGGTGGGAGTGTGCTGTGAAGCAGAAGCAAACAAAATTATTTTGATTAAATGTCAAATCCGCTCATCTTCTATTTTTACGTTGATATACCTAGGTAAATTAACTGTATGTTTTGAGAAGGGTTAATTTGACAATTCAATTCCGATATAACCCAAAAGAAGAAGAAGATTTGATGTTTATGCCGTAATGCCGTGGTTTATGTTTTTATTTAAATTTTAAATTAGAGAAGAGAAAGACTAGAAGGGCTATGTACTCTGAAAAATGCTGTGGAATTACAAATATTTTATATAAATCCATTCATTTACTAACATTCATACCTATAATAGTCAGAACAGAGCTCTAAATAATATGCATAGAAAGTACAATGGCCTTATTTATACTCTGGAACAAAAACTAGTTGCAACAGTATGGTATCATGAAAGGCTTTTTACAGGAATATGTTATGATCAGTTATGTCAGAACTTTCGTACCCGATTCAATTTGCAATATCCCTCTTATAGTACTCTTAAAAAATGGGAAAAATACTTGTTTAAGGAGGGAGGTGAGGTTGTAAGCAAAAAGAAAAAAGGAAATCATGGAAGCCTTAGAAGATGGGTTTATATTCCATATGTAAAAGAGTCTCTGATTCGTAACCCTGATATGTCTTTAATTGCAAGAGCTAAATATCTTGGTATGACAAGAACTACACTTATAACCATTTTAAAATCAGACCTGAAAGAATTTCATTTAGCTATTTTAACAAATTTTAAAACAGAAAATGTTGACAAGGTTGATGTTGTTACGAAGAATAATGAAAGCAAAGATGAAGATACTAAGTAAAAATCAATGTTATGCAGTACTTTTTTTAAGAAACTTCAATTGTATTAGATTTTTATTCTATAAACACACTGTATCATTTATTAAAACAGTACCTACTTTCTTGTGCTTGACTATTTAATACAATAATAATTAGTTAATTTCAATTATCTATTACAATTTTGTTTATTTTATTTTTTAGAACAATAAAGGCTTTAAAATTTTGTTGAAGAATTGAACTGTTATCAATTAATAATAAAGATCATAGGATATTAACACATTAAATACCAAATATGACATTCTTATCTTCTTCTTTAGGTGCTAAATAATGAAATGTTTAAAGCCGAACTATTTGGGGGCATGTATTATGTAAACACACTATCACTTCACTAATTGATATTGTTAAGGAAAAGAACATTATTAGTAGATATAATTTTGAGAGTTCAAGAAAGTGTTATTAGCAAAATTATGTTGATAATCAGTGTCAATTGATAAGAGAAATGCTTGACAAGATTGTCTGCAAACTAAATGCATTTTTTTTTAAAGTTCTCTATTGTAGTCTGGTTGTAATGCAGCTATACTACGTTCCACATTTAGAAAATAACATTGCGGAGATAGGGCCATGTATTTCTTATGGACGATAGCAACGCGGCGTTGCCACGACACACACAAGCACAATTTAGGGTTGTATAATTTGTATTTTTGTTTCCACAAACATTAATTTATGTTTACATTAAATTAATGTTTTTTAACGTAATTGACCAAAAGTGCCCATTCGAAACAAGAGATGAAAAGTAGGGAAAATGATTTTAATTAGATAAATAGTATTTACAAAAGATAATTTTATTTTATCTTATTTTAATTATAGTAACGACAGTTTATTTGTTTTTCGGTGAGAATACGATATGCCATGAATCATAGAAATCAGTAGAAAATATTGACCGCTTGGAATGAGTATATCTAATTACTAATTGCAACTTAAAATAATACGATGTGCGTATGTCAGCTATTTTATGTCGTTTTCTGACTACATAATGATAATAAGGCTTTTATTTAGTAGTTATTCTGACTTTACAGTTAAGTGTTAATTGAAAATGAAAATTCAAAAATTAAGCAAAGGGAATATCTTGGACATCCGCGCAAAAAAGAGTGTCTGAGAGTTTTGGCAACACTGATCTCCATAAGCGTAATGTTATTTTCTAAACTTGAAACAAAGAATAGTAGGCTTATTGTACACCCTCCATTTATTCATGATACCCATTCCAAGATCATGGAGCCCTGTACCATATTGTGCAGTTTTACTGGATGGGTACCATATGTTTTTCAAGTCACTTGGTAGTCTCTAAAAAGTGTTTGCCTTGTAACTAATATCTGCTGATAGGTGCATGTCAATGCAGACTCAGACCACTACCTCATGGAAAGTAGAATAAGAGCTAGAGTTTCTAATGCCAAGAAGTAAAAAAGATTCAAATATGAAAGATATAAAATAGAAGAATTAAAAGATAAGAGCAGAAATATAAAATATAGAAGAACAATAAACAGAAAAATGACAAAAACATGAAGAAATTGGTCAACACTGCGCATCAAGACAAAGAGCAACACCAGAATAGTATGATGAAAAATGTTATCCAAAAAAATCACAGGTGTGAATGAATGCAAATACCAATTTTTACATATCTATCCTCGTTAGTAACTTTAGAGAATAATATTAGTAAAGAGATTAAAATGATAATATAAGTCGCAAATGAAACATATAACAGAGTTGACAAACACTTAAGAACAAAATCTAACATATGGATCAGAAACAAAAAGCAATGAGAAGCTACTAGCAATATTTGAACAAAAAGACACAGGAATGTGGGACACTATTGCATGGCAAAGATGTTACAATTACAACTTTGAATTGTAGTATACATATAATCAATCAGACATAACCACATTTATAAAAATGGAAAGACTGTACTGGATGGGTCACATAGAATTGATACAGGAATATCTAGAAAATTATAAGCCAGGTACCAATGGAAAGAAGACCCAGGCTTAGATATTGGAGCAGAACAAGATCTAAAGATCACTAACTGGGTGTGTAAAGCCGATAATAGATAGGAACAGTGGAAAATCTTAACAATCCAAGACCACAAAGGGTAGTTGTACTACTGATAATGGCAGATTTCTCTAAATAATATCTGTACCTATATTCTTATGATTGATTGATGTTCTTTTGTTTCCGCATCTCAGACACAAAGTAAAATTTGCCAAGTAGTACACACACCACAATGATCAGAAACGTCAAGACAAATAAAAAGAAGTTCTAGAAATGACATAACTGTTTATTATCAAAAGTTGAAAGCTAATGATGTTTTATAAAAAGGGATTTTCAGTGGAGACTTCTAGTAAACTATGATTGACTGTATAAGTTAATAAAGATTTGTTTGTTAGGAAAACCGATTTTTCTAGAAAAACCTTTATATTATTAAATCTTTCTGGTTGAAAATAATGGACTTTAAAAAACTAGAAAACAATTTTTTCCAGACAGACAGAAGGTAAATGCTTTATTTATAATGTAGTTATTTAATTTCAGAAGTACAGCAACTATTTAAAAAAGAAGATTTAATATAAAATCAAATTTAATACATTGTGTATCCAATACACTACAAAAAATATCTTATAGCTTAACAACACACCTAAATATAAAAAGTATAGTACACTATTGTTCCTTAACTTTATCTGCTTCTTTATAAGCTCGCAAAATATATAATCCTACAGCTATATGTAACACCACTACAGCAAATACTGCAGACCAAATATTAGCTGTCATAGATGTAACTCTGAAAATACCTAAAACATAATTACATTTATTTACACAAAATTTTATAGTGTATAAAATATTTATTTTCAACTGTATTGGATGATTTTGTTAAAAATGATTGTTTTAAAACAAATGCCTACACTCAATGATTAGGTAGCTTAGAAATGACTGTGACATCTTTGCAAAATAATATAAGTTCAATTCGCACTAATAAATCATAAACTATTGCATATATCAGAGATCCTGGCGAACCATGAAGTCATAATAGGTCTAGTATGTACATCTCATCTACATTTAGGTACTACACTTAAGAATACAATACAGACATATGTAGAGGAGATGTCTATGTTTAGAATTTGGTATTGCATATAAAGCAGATGATACAGTGAGAATAGAGAATGGGCATATTCATGCAGCTGTGAAACATAAGTAAACCTAGGCTTCTAAATTTCTTTCTTTTTTGTTTAATTTAGTTATATACTTTATGAATTCCCTTATCATTTTTAAGTTAAATTCATTGGTATCCATGAAAAATAAGTACAATTAAATCTACAGTACCTTCAAACAATATTATCTTTGAAACAAAAAATGTTGTTATAGGTGAAGCTAATATAAATATGCTGTATAATAAAATTGTCTTAAAGACACTATAAGGAGTTGCAGTTGATTCCATAGTTTTATTTTCCATGTTCCTAAGTTCTCATTTAATAAAAAAATGAAAATGTTATTACAAATACAAATATAACCTCGCCCGGAATGTCAAGTGATTGTGACATTGCAAATTATCACATGATAAAATTAAATAATCTATTCTCTGTGATGTAAATCACAAAACATTGAAATCAGATTTGATTCTGCTGTCATTCTGGATTTTTAAAAACAATTTGTTTAGAGTGATCTGTTCAATGTAGCAGTATATTTATAATTTTTTTTCAATATATATCAGTTTTGTTGTCTCTAGTTTGTAAAGGATATTAATACATAAAACTCATTATATTATTTGCCTGATGAAAATGCTGCCTGATATTACGTAAAAGGCCATGATCGTAAAACGAAGAAGGTATATGTTTATATTATAGTAAGGTTATATTATGGTTTGTTTTTATTTAGATTAGACTTCTTAAAATGGGTAACATACTCATTAACAGTTTTCACAAACGAACTAATAAGGATAGATAAATAAATTAGTTTAATATGGGGACGGAAAAATCCGTTAAAAGTAGCAAATCGATAACGGTGAATTTACCGAAATTTACGTTCACCCGAGAACAAAAAATTGTAGCAACTGTGTGGTTTCACGAAAGAGACTATACTGGAATGACATATGAACAGTTAAAACATAATTTTATGATTCGTTTTAAACTTAAATACCCGACTCGCAACACACTTAAAAGGTGGGACCGAGAATTATTTACGGAAGGCGTTCCCCCCAAAAAGAAGAAAAAAATAACGACGTCTTTAGACAGGCTCATATATGTTCCTTACGTAAAAGAATCATTAATTCGATTTCCAGACTTAACGATAAGAGGAAGAGCTGAGATGCTTGGTATGTCAGTTGGAACTGTTAACAATATTTTAAAAACTGATCTGACTGAAGCAGAAGTAGTTGCTTTAAAAAATACTAATGCCAATTCCACACCACAAGTAGATTCTCAAAGTAAAGACTAATTGGAAATATACAAGAATTAACAGAATGAAGAAGCTCGAAATGAAAAATAAAAATAGAACATTAACAAGAATTTATTGTATTTGTTTTCCCATGCTCCCTTAACATTATTATCCTTGTTTTAAAACAACAACCTGAATAAAAGTGTCATGTGTTCATTAAATAAAATTTATAAAAAGATTAACTAAGTAAAACCTTCTATTAGTAGTAGAAAGTTAGTTGAGCATTGAGCAAAATAGTACACCTATTTGGGGATACGGAGATTCCATATTTGATATTTACAATGTTGCCAGATTTGCCGTTTTCCTTATATTATTATAACTTTGGTTTTTCAAATACATCACCCTGTATACTTAGTCATTATTGGAATCTCCTATTCAATACGAGTTCAACCATATGTAAAACTTATGATTTTATGTAATCTGGAAGGTCATAAATACATAAAACCGAAGTCTGGCAACACCTAAATTGTTTCAATACATTTTTTAATACTAACTATTTTTAAATACATTAAAATGTAACAATTGAGAGTTAAGAACATTTTTTAACATAGTAGTTACGTTATTAAGTGTTCAAAATGTGCTCAATTTGTGAGTTGACAGCACCCTAATCGATGGTAGAAGGCGTCTACCACATTTCTCCATGATTGTCTAGAAATTATAGACAATTAATATAATATATTAAATAGACAATTAATGAGACGCAGTTCGGGTTCCGAAATGGAATGGGTACTTGAGAAGGAGTATTTGCCATCAACATATTGATTCAGCGATGTAGGGATGCAAACATTTGTGCTTTGTTGACTACGAAAAAGCTTTAGATGAAAGTAAGACATGAAAAACTAATATTAATACGTATGAACAAGGGCATTGACAGTAGAATCATAAATATAGTGCAAACATTATATTGGAACCAAAGTACCATAGTTCAAATTGATGAGCAATGCTCAGAAGAAATGAAGATCTGTAAAGGTATAATCTGTAGTTATATTCTGAAGAAATCTTCCAAAACAATATCTAATCTTTTAACAAATCTTTTGTAGTTATATTCTCAATAATATCAAAGCTGGAGTTACTGTTAACGGAAAATTAATTAACAACTTACGATATGCAGACGACACTGTGATTATAGCAAAGAATAGAGAAGATCTTATCGAAAGCTTACTATAAACGCTAAAAAAACGAAGTACATGCTAACTACAAAAAGACTACAAAATATACATCACCTATTGACAATCAATGGTAACGTGATGGAGCAAGTAGAAAAATATCAGTACTTGGGAACTTTGATCAATGACACCAATGATCATAATGCAGAAATTAACAGGCGAATAGAGATTGCCAGATCAGCATTTATACTAATGAAGCCACTCCAACATGAAAAAATCTAAATTTGGAGATCAGACTACGTACCATTTGCTGTTATATATTTTCATTATTATATGGAGCTGAGACTTGAGCATTAAAAAAATGCAGTTTAGAACGAATCGAGGCTTTCGAACTCTGATTATACTGCAGAATATTAAAAATATCACGGATTGATAGAATTACAAATAAAGAAGTACTGGAGAGGGTTGGTAAAAAAACAGAACGAATCACCACTATACAAACCAAAAAACTGGAATACCTAGGCTGCGTGATGAGGGGACCAAAATATGAAATTTTGAGAATCATAATACAGGGAAAGATTCAAGGAAGAAGATCTGTTGGCCGAAGGCAGAAATCATGGTTGAAGAATCTATGTGATTGGTATCAATGCAGATTGATTGATTTGTTTAGAGCAGAAAGTTCAAAAATAAAAGCCATTAAGATTACCAACCTCCATAGGGAGACAGTCCTCTAAGAAGAAGACTTAAATAAACTTAAATTATGGCTTATTCCCATTAAGAATAGTAAATTTATTCTATTTTATTAATAAATACGTTCGGCATTGCGTTTACTATTCCAAGTAGTGTGTGGTCACGCGATGTGTCGTTACAGTTTGTATTGTTGGTTTTATTTTTTTCACACGTCAGCGCCATCCACTGCTGCGTCCATAGCCCGCGATAAGAACACTATGGTGCTTTCAAAAATTTTGTTATCAGTTCCGGTTATCAAGTTCTTAGCTAACAAAAAATCGGAAATGCATTTAAGTCCTTATGGAATATCTTTCATGATGTCGTGACTAACAGAAGAAACTGTATTGCAGTGTTTGCTTTATTATGATAAGAAATATTATGTATCTTGACGTGAACAAATACCCACGGATCAACTGAGAACATGAAGTAAGGGCTATAGTTTTATCTGCATCCTTTTGTCTCACTTTTATATAGGAAACAAGTAAAGAGGGGACTCTTAACACAATAAGACAGCTTCGCCAGATCTTATTGTTGTTATTAGAACACTCAATACCTCCTTTATACAAGAGCTCTAGATATACAAGGGCCAAATTAAAATTCTATTAGGTGTTGGGGAGAGCCAATCTGCTGAAGTACTGAAATATTTGTTAATGGTTAAAGAAGATGTACTGGTGATACTGCAGCCAATATAGTCAATTGGCTGCAGTATCACCAGTGTAGAGAAAAAGAAGGAAGAAAGATAGGCTTCCAGAGAAGAAAAAAAAAAGACATTGTCTTTTGGTAGTTACAATTAATTTTTAATAATCTTTTCTATCACTTTTACACAAATTCATTAATTGTCACTAGTTTAAGTCGCAGGTATCTTCTTTTATTTTCTTACTTAAACCTGCTCATTATCTTAAGCACAAGTCTTAGAGTAACTTAAACTTCATCAACTAGAAGGCAACTTTAATTTGAAACTTAAATTATTGGCAAAAAATTAAATACATTATTAATTTGCCATTTCTAATGTACTGAATAATGTCTTATTTAATTCCAGTGTCTTGAATATCATTTGTTAAAAAATATAATATTATATTACAATGCCGTTAAATTACATAGGAAGTATAATAATATAAAAAAGAATACTTATGATAAATACTTCAATGCAGTTATTGCTGTACAACATTTTATTTTATTAAGTATTATGCAAATATTATCTCTTTACTCAAGTAATTTTATCTTTAACTTCATTATCCTTAACACCAACATCAGATTTTTCAGCAACCTCTGCTGTTTTAAATTTTTTTAAAATAGCTGAATGGAATTCCTTTAGGTCAGTTTGCATAATTCTGTGAAGTGTAGCTGGTGAAATACCAAGGAATTGAGCTCGTGCTCTTAAACTCATATCAGGATTACGAATTAAAGAATCTTTTATGTATGGAATATAAACCCACCTAGTAACACTTGCATGAAATGGTTTTCCTTTTTTGTTGTCACTTATACATCCATATTTAAACAGACTCTTTTCCCATTTCTTTAGGGTACTAGCAGATGGATACTGCATGTTGAATCGAGTAAGAAAATTTTGGCAGAGTTGCTCATAAGATATTCCTGTATAAAGTCTTTCATGATACCATACTGTCGAAACCAATTTTTGTTCACGAGTAAAGGTGAGTCCATTGTACTTTCTTACATTTGTATGATTGCCTTTCCATTTCTCTTGTTTTTCCATTTCTTGCATATTTTGTGTTCATATGGGTAACTTGTAATATTGTTTCATGGCAGACCTATAGAACAAGTGCCGAGGAACTGACAGAAGATTAGTGACAGATCTGTATTTGGCAGTGTTGCCATATCACAAATAAATCCTGAAAGAGCATGCGATATAATATTAATTAATGTTCAACATTCTTTTAAAGTTTTTGAAAGAAGTTTAACTAATTTAAATTTTTTTTTTAATTTAAATTAACTTTGATTTTTTAAGCTTTTAAATTTTTAAGTTATTAAAGTTAATTAAACATCTTTACCGATATATTTTTACTTTGTTATTCACATTTTAAGGATTAAATTGTCAATAATGATAATTTAATCTCTGCAACGTAAATTTGAAAAAATATCGATCTGAACAATCTCCAGTAACTAGCTAATACATTAACAAAACGATATTCAGGTACAATTTCACCCCAAAATTATAAGAAAATAGTCATAAAAATCATAAAATTGAAATCTGCTAAACATCTGTTGCAATCTGGCAACTACTGTTTTCAAAATTT